GCCAATAGTTTTCCTTTATATTTCTTTCTATGTAATTTCGTCATTTGAATGATGCGGTAGAGAAGTCGAATAATTTGCTGTTTATGATAGAAAACAATACACAAATAAATTAATACAACAAAACTAACTCGTTATCTCTTGGGTAGAAAGCAGCTTGTACCTACAAGTAACGTTTCCACAAACTGACAGTCATGTTAAAAGAGAGAATTCCAGATTTTTTGTTCGCGAACTTGTTTCCAAGGTCTTGTTCAGAGAAGGATTGTTGAAATAAGATACATTTAATTTTTACAGAATTACCATTGTTATAGTAGAGACGAATGGGTTATCACCCAAATTACCAGTATTATGCTAGAAATGAATGGGTTATTACTAATTTTTAAGGCACATTATTTTGCACATGCATATTCAAAAATGTGAGAGGTAACAATATCTAATATTTTGTAAAAAACATTACGTACGAGATAAATCTATTGTATGGATGAAAAGCGTATTTTTCAAAATACGTCATATTGCTGGTCCATTTTATTTCCATTTCTACTACGTTGGATACTCGAAGTGGATGCAAAAACATTTTTCTTACTCCTCATCACAACAATGTTGTACATCAAAATAATTAATGAATGAATGAACCATAAACAAATATTTTAACTATTGAAACATTTTATTACAAAGTCCTGTTGATCATTTTCATCTCAAGAGCTAATGTTGGCACTAAACACTGATAATTCATCGGTATAGAAGTAAATGGTACTAATAATTCAGTCGTTATTACTGTTTTGACGACAGTATATTCTGATACGCTCGAATAAAGTTGATCTCAACATTAAAGGTGTATAATCAATCATGGAATGATTAGTTGACGTAAACAAGGATATTCATAATTTAATTCATACAGTTACTTGTTATAAAAATAATAGGTATCATAAAACCTACAGTATTTGGTTTTGTTGCTTGGAAAATTAACATTGAAAAACGTGTGTTCTTTCAGATCTCGCTACCAAGGGAAGAAAGAAGAAACTTAAGCAAGCTCTACAATAAAATGAACGTTACGGATATCTCAAGATTAGCGCCTCAGATAAACTGGAGAAAGTTCTTAAATAACCTTCTGGTCGATCCCATTCCAGATTCAGAGCCTGTTGTCGTCATCGTCCCTGAATTTATCAAAAAAATCGGCGAAATAGTCAGTTCTAGTGATAAACGGTAGGTAATTGACTCAAAGAACAATTTCGTTGTGAAAATGTTTTGAATATAAATGTTCGTAGTATAATCTCCATTATAACGAACACACAGCTTTTATCTAATGAATTTCCATTATAACACAGACTATTTTTTTTTACCAATACTAGTCTTAGGCACGACGATATTTAAAAATGTTTGGATCATTGATATAAATAGTGCTAGAAAACTATATTACACCTTCGTGGTGCCTGTTGTCTTAATGAGAAACTTCTGTAAAGTAATTACATTTAATAATTTACAAATGTATGTAAAGCTAAGCCTAATGTTCAAACTCTATATTATTTCAGGGTAATTAGCAACTACATGCTGTGGCGAGTGGTGCTACGGTCGTTTCACACGTTAAGTAAACCATGGAGGGAACTGATACAGCAGTATAATACTATTATCACAGGTAAAACTATAGAGCCACCCCGATGGGAACAGTGTATGGATTTCTTAACAAACGACTTAGGTGTGGCGCTGGCGTCGCTCTACGTTCGTAACCATTTCCAAGAGGAAAGCAAGCAGTTGGTAAGCGCCATATCAACACTGTATGTTTATTTTGTATGTGAAAATATCCACCAAAGTTCTCTGTCATTAAAGTATAGAATTTCAAATCTTGTCGTTAGACTGACCTAATATCCCAAACGTTTTGGTAGAAGAATTTATTTCAGTTCTTGAAGAAATTAAAGCGTTTTCTTTTAATATTTCTATATTTGAAATAATTATATTTGGCACAGTATACCAAGAAATAATCTTATGGATATGATATGCTAATAAAGCATCTTTGTATGCTATTTTCATAAGAACTTTGAACGTGAATATCATAATCTTTTAAGATTAGTTAAAAATATCAAGTGTCTGATCACAAATGCATTGTATATTATATTAAAAAAGTGACAATTAGACGTTCAACATTAAATATATTAAACTTCATAACAATAATGTACTAATATGTAAATGTATATACCCCAAGGCTAATGGTAAAATACTTAAAACAATTAAAGTATTTTGTAAAACTATGGCCATTTTTTATTGATAAGGCTTCCGAGAATGGAGGTGTAACTGGGGTTAGGGTCAAAGTCCTCATGACACGTAAACTGTAGATTTCAAAGAGCAGGTGGGAAAAGATAGGACATTTTAAACTTATCTTAGTTTATTCTTCCTAAGCTGAAGAAATAGAACATTTCAAGAAAAATATACATATTGTAATTTGTAACAGCAATTCTAAACAGTCTTTTATAAACTACAATTTAACGTGATTCATTAGCTTCCTTAATTTTTTTTCCTTTGATACCTAACTTTATGAAATAGTATAAAACAACAAGACATGTCCTGGTTATTTGAAAATTATCTGAATTATGTATCTCAACAAAGTTATGTTTGACCAATGTCAAACCTAACTTCTTATCTAATGAGGCCCGGCATGGCCAGGTGGATAAGGCTCTCGACTCACAATCTGAGGGTCGCGGGTTCGAATCCGCATTCCACCAAACATGCTCGCCCTTTCAGCCGTGGGGGCGTTATAATGTGACGGTCAATCCCACTATTCGTTGGTAAAAGAGTAGCCCAACAGCTGGCGGTGGGTGGTGATGAATAGCTGCCTTCCCTCTAGTCTTACACTGCTAAGTTAGGGACGGCTAGCGCAGATAGCCCTCGTGTAGCTTTGCGCGAAATTCCAAAGCAAACAATCTTATCTAATGAAACAGGAATAAATTTTAAAACCCACCGATTGACCCCCTTCTTGAGTTATTCAAAGCTAGTTGTATTAGTTATTTGTAGTTTTTTGCTAAACAGTGGGTGAGTTAATACGTGAAACTAACTTCTCACCTATATTGCATATTGTATAAACTTTTATCTACTTTAGAGTAACCAGAGTTCAAGGCCTAGTTAAATATTCGGACTTATTGGATCCATGTTATTGTGATCTAATGAAAACGTGGCACGCCTGCAGGGAAAATCACTTGTGGAAATCGATAGTTTAAGAAGCCTTCGTGTTTTATTTTTAGTCTAAGTCGGTAAAAATTATATATATATTATCTTAGCCATCGTTGTATACTTATGATGTATGTCACAGTTGGTTTGAAAAGTCCTCGGTATTGGTGATAATGTATTGAAGGCTGTACTATTATACATTATTAAACAATAATTTCAGACTATTAAGGGAAATTTTGGATTAACATATTACATTAAATACATAGAAAGAGTATACGTGAATGATACTTGTTATTACATTAATCAAGGCACTTGAGATTGTCAACTATATTCACAAAGAATTCGTAAAGATGTTGGACGAACTTCACTGGATGGATGAAAAAACTAAACAGAAAGCGAAAGAAAAGGTCGGTAACGGTGAACATTTTGTATTCAAATAGCTCTAGAGATATTAATTAGTTATTAACAAATGTAAAGACGTGAAAACATTAAGCAGGAATTCGAATATTGTATGAACAGTAACAGTTAGAGTAAATTCACAAAATACGGAATACAAATGTATCCAGAAGCTCTCTTAAGAGATATAAGTTTGTAAATACACCATTTTAACATATTTTTCTTTCTAACTGAAATAAATAAAATAGCGTTAACAAACCGTAGATATAGTATTTTAAATGAAATATGGAGCATTATAAGTTACAAGCCAGAAGAATCTCTACATCCAGAACACTTACCCTGCGTATCGTCCAGACTAGTTATACTACGTATCATCCAGACTAGTTATACTACGTATCATCCAGACTAGTTATACTACGTATCGTCCAGACTAGTTATACTACGTATCATCCAGACTAGTTATACTACGTATTATACAGAATAATTATACATCGTATCTTTGAGAATAATTACACTACGTATCATCTAGAATAGTTACATTACGTATCATCCAGACTAGTTATACTACATATCATCCAGACTAGTTATACTACGTATCGTCCAGACTCGTTATACTACGTATCGTCCAGACTAGTTATACTACGTATCGTCCAGACTCGTTATACTACGTATCATCCAGACTAGTTATACTACGTATCGTCCAGACTAGTTATACTACGTATCACCCAGACTAGTTATACTACGTATCGTCCAGGCTAGTTATACTACGTATCGTCCAGACTAATTATACTACGTATCGTCCAGGCTAGTTATACTACGTATCGTCCAGGCTAGTTATACTACGTATCGTCCAGACTAGTTATACTACGTATCGTCCAGACTAGTTATACTACGTATCGTCCAGGCTAGTTATACTACGTATCATCCAGACTAGTTATACGTATCGTCCAGACTAGTTATACTACGTATCGTCCAGACTAGTTATACTACGTATCATCCAGACTAGTTATACTACGTATCATCCAGACTAGTTATACTACGTATCGTCCAGACTAGTTATACTACGTATCATCCAGACTAGTTATATTACGTATCATCCAGACTAGTTATACTACGTATCATCCAGACTAGTTATACTACGTATCATACAGAATAATTATACATCATATCTTTGAGAATAATTACACTACGTATCATCTAGAATAGTTATACTATTCTTTGAGAATAATTACACTACGTATCATCTAGAATAGTTATACTACGTATCATCCAGACTAGTTATACTACGTATCGTCCAGACTAGTTATACTACGTATCATCCAGACTAGTTATACTACGTATCATACAGAATAATTATACATCATATCTTTGAGAATAATTACACTACGTATCATCTAGAATAGTTATACTACGTATCGTCCAGACTAGTTATACTACGTATCATCCAGACTAGTTATACTACGTATCATCCAGACTAGTTATACTACGTATCGTCCAGGCTAGTTATACTACGTATCGTCCAGACTAGTTATACTACGTATCATTCAGACTAGTTATATTACGTATCATCCAGACTAGTTATACTACGTATCATCCAGACTAGTTATACTACGTATCATACAGAATAATTATACATCATATCTTTGTGAATAATTACACTACGTATAATCCAGACTAGTTACATTACATGCCATCCAACATAACTGCACCACTTATCATTCAGAATAGTTACAATACGATACATGAAGACTAGTTTCTACATATCATCCAGAATATTACTCTAAGTATCATCCCCAATAGCTACACTGCGTATTATCCAAAATAGATACATTGTGAATCATCCAGAATAGATGCAATATATATATCATTTAGAATAGTTAAATTAAATATCATCCAGGCGAGTTACATTAAGTACCATCCAGACTAGTCAAACTACGTATCATAGAGAGTAGCTGCACTATTTATCATACAGAATAGTTACACTAATTATCATCCAGACAAGTTATACTAAGTACCAATCAGACTAGTCAAACTACGTATCATAGAGAGTAGCTGCACAGTAAGATATCGTTCAGAATAGTTACACAATATATCATACAGATTATATACACTAGGTATCATCCAGAATAGTTACATTACGCATCACCCAGAATAGCTGCACTATGTATCATCCAGAATAGTTACACTAATGATTATCTAGAATAGTTACACTATGTATCATCCAGAATAGTTACACTAATGATTATCTAGAATAGTTACACTATGTATCATACAGAATAGTTACACTAATGATTATCTAGAATAGTTACACTATGTATCATACAGAATAGTTACACTAATGATTATCTAGAATAGTTACACTAATGATTATCTAGAATAGTTACACTAATGATTATCTAGAATTGTTACACTGTGTATCATCCAGAATAGTTACACTACCTATCATCCAGAATAGCTGCACTACATATTATTCAGAATAGTTACACTTGGTATCATCCAAAATACTTACCTTAAGGATAATCAAGTATAGTTACACCACGTACCATCCCGAATAATTACACTACTTATCATCCAAGCCAGTTACACTAGGTATCATCCAGAATAGTTACCTTAAGTATTATACAGACTAGTTAAAATACGAATTATTCCAGACTGGTACAGTAGGTGTAATCCAAATTGGTTACACTATGTATCATCCAGAATAGTTACACAACGTATCATCTAGAGTAGTTACATTAGGTATCTTTCAAAAAAGTTACACTACGTATCACCCAGAATAGCTGTACCACGTATCATCCAGACTAGTTACACTAAATATCATCTAAAATAGTTATTCTGTGTATGATTCAGAATAGTTACACAACATATCATTCACAATAGTTACATTACGTATCATCCAGAATAGGTACACTACGTATCATCCAGAATAGGTACACTATGTATCATCCAGACGAATTATACTACGTACCATCCAAAATAGTTACAATACGATATCATCCAGAATAGTTACAATACGATATCATCCAGAATAATTACAGCACGTATCATCCAGAATAATTACACTATGTATCACCCAGAATAGTTACACTATGTATTTCTGTACTAAACAATCATAACACGCTCTTCTTCATATTGTTAAATCAGTTTAAAACTGGCTGTAAAATATATATATATTAAAAGTAATGTGCCACGCTTTGTTTTTTGTTGTTTTTGTTTCTAGGCTCATGCCATTCAATCCCACATAGGCTACCCAGACGAACTTCTTGATGAGGATAAGTTGACAGAGTTGTATGAAAACGTAAGAAGGAAGAATCCTTATATTAAATATCTTCTAAGACAAATATTAAATTTTGTTTCCATTATTGTTATAGATGTTATTTTGGATATACAAGACTGTTTAGTATAAGAATTATTATTTAGTTAATTTAGTGATCTAATATTTAATGATTATTTTGTTTTCATAACAAGAGTGTTAAAGTTAATTATTTTAAAGGCGATAGTTATGACAAATTTCGTTATGTAACTCGTACTTTGTGTGTGTAATTCAATTGTTGTAATTTGATGTCATTACTCGAACTTACTGCATTTTTCTCGTTTCTTTAAGTGAGTATTGTTACATCATAGCGTCTCGTAGTTTATAGAAAGTTCTAGGTTTCAGTGGGGCAGTATATATATATATAGGCGACCAATTGAGTGCAAGTTAAGTCAGAAAAAGTTAAGCTAGTGAAGGTGAAGTTAGACTGTGTGATCGTTAGTTTAGCCATAACGGACAATATTTAAAGTGAGTATCACAGTGGTATCGTAATAACAGAGATAAAGGAGAACCATTTATCTTGTCAAAGTGTGTGTTCTCAAGTAATTGAACCCGCCTGTGTGAATTTTGATGAAAAGGAGACAATTATTTGAAGTTCTGGATACAACTCTGGTAACCCACGGGGTAAAATAAGTAAATCTATCACAGATTGTGCACAGAGTAGAAAAAATAATTCGTCTTTTCAGTTGAGTTCTAAAGTAACTGAAAGTAACTTAACTAGTCTGCGTGGACATTTGACAAGAAAATATAATTATTTAAAGCTTCAGATACAACTTTGATAACCAATAGTGAAACAAATTTTTGTAGATACGTTTGACTTGTATTGAACATATTTTAAGACAAGTGGATTATGTGCTTTCCTATTATTGTTAGCTTCCATCGCCAACAAGTCACAGACACCTACTGTAAAGAATCCGGCCTCTACATACATAAAAACCTGACATTTCAGAATTCCGTGAATTACAGTATTTCTGACATTATATTTGTTTTTACCGAATACTATTAACTATTCTTTTATAATTTAAAACAGTGCTATGAAATTCTATTAATAACAATAAAAACATTTATATTTTGTTGTTTCTGCTGAATCTTTTAATGTTTGGTACATATTTATAAACTTAAAATGTTAGTAAGCTTTCTTTCACACAATTTCAGCTAACTGTGACGTCGGATAACTATTTTGAAAATGTTCAGAATACAAGATTGTGGACCACAGATTACGAATATGGCAGACTCCGGGAGCCCAATAAGAAAGGAAAGTAAGTTGATATTATAAAGTTTAAAAAGGTTAGGTTAGGGTAGGTGAACTAAGCTTTATATTTGAAGCATTGAAATGAAAGTATGACTGTGTTGCAACTTTATGGAAAGTAAAGTAATATTAAGATCATAAGGATGTAAGGATTGCCAGGATCTATAATAGTATTTTGCAGAATATAGATAACATAGTGTTGTGAGGCGGAGGAAAGTGCTTAGAACTGTGTTGTAATGGAACAGGAAGTAGAGTATAATGTTATGTTACATAAACACAAGACGGTATTGAACAGGAAGGAGAGTATAAGGTTATGTTGTATACACACAAGACGGGATTGAACAGGAAGGAGAGTATAAGGTTGTGTTGTATAGACACAAGACGGGATTGAACAGGAA